TGCTCGCATCCGTCTGGTCACGCACCTCTACGGCGAAGAGCTTCTCCCCCTATCCCCGTCTGCTGCGGGCAAGCCGGACACGCTCCCACCCCCCGGGCTCGCAGTCCTTCAGCGTCAGGCAGCTACCACGGCCCATATGCTGCAAGTTCGCTACGCGCGACAAGCTTTGGTTGCCATGCTCGGTCACTGGTCTCCACAGCACCCGCCCACGCCTGCCATGCTCGGCATCGACTCTTGGCGTCCCTTTATCCAGCTGTTCAAGTACATCGGGGTGATGGAAGGCACGTTTAGAAACCCCCCCGCGTCCCTGTTGGACGTGATGAGAATGACCTCGCCCTCCACCTCCCTCCCGCCCTTCGGGGCCTCGGGCGGCAGGGTGGAAGGGCTGAGAGAGCAAAGGGGTGGAATGAGGACGGAGGCCATGTCCGAAGCAGGCAGAAGCAGCAACTGTGGGGAGAAAGGTACTTTGTCGACCGTGCTGAAGCGGCAAATTGTACTGTGGTTGCGCGCTGGCGCGGAAAGTCACGCCTATTATTCGCACCATGGGAGCGGAGGAGAGGGTCCCCGGGAACGGTTGCGGTGTGTTACTCCCACTTTTGCCAGTCACGGACCCGATTCCTTGTTCCAAGCCCTGTTGACAGATTCTTTGGAGAACCTGTACAGTATCGCCTTGGGTCAGACTCTCAGTCCCACCGTCACGGCAACTTTGCCTAGAAAAGGGAGGCGAGAGAGAGGACGGGCGAGTAGGGGGGGGGAAGCGCGGCCTCTCCCTCCAAAGCCTAGCTTGCCCCTGCCGCTCCTTCCTCCTCCGCCTCCACCTGCCCTGGTCCGTGCCTCAACCTCCTCCTACATCATACATTCGTCCTTGGAGGCGGCCCATGAGGAGGAAGCTGAGGAGAAGGCGGACACCATTGTAGAGGAACTGCGGGGCTTGGCAGCCCCTCTCAAGTTTCCCTCTTCCACTCGGGGCACTGTCACGCCTCAGGGCTCCCCTCCATGGCCAACGAGTCGTGGGATAAGGGCAGGTCTCTCCTCCGGTCAGTCCGTTCAACGTGAGTCTCTTCATCCTTTCTTTGGTCCGTGCTCCTACGGAGAAGAAGTGCACTTGCCGGGAGCTACGTCCATCCGGGTATGCTTGGACGCACGGAGTGCCTTTGGAAAGGCGGGGGCCAGACGTGGGGACCAAGGCAGTGGGGAAGCGACGCTTTGCTTTTGGCGCTCCGAGGATGAGGCACGTCAGGGTGTGAAGCCACTGAAACGATTTCCGACCAAAGGCTGGTGGCAGCGGCAACGACAAGGGCGCCAGCAGCTGCAGTCGTCGCCGCAGCAGCAGGGGAAGAAAAAGGGAAAAGGTGATTCGGGCGAATTTTCCTTTGTAGTACCCAACACGGACAGGATCTACTACTCCTTCGCGGCCTGCGGGCAAAGGAATGTCGACGACAGGGATATCTTCCTTCCTTTGCTTCCTGTCTCTTCCCCTCCCCCAGGTGTGGACCTTGCGCCCACCCACGCCGACTGCCGCGATGACTACACCGTGGATGACGGCATTGTCCGGTGCCAGCGGGGCTTTCCTTCCTTGGCCCCCCAAGGTGTGATGCTTCGGAAAGGAAAATGGTACTACGAAGTGACCATTGTCAAGCCCGGGCTGGCTCAGTTGGGGTGGGGAGATGGGGCCTTTGTGGGCCACTCGTCTCGAGGCGAGGGAGTGGGAGATGACTTGCATTCCTGGGGCGTGGACGGACATCGGGTGTACCGTTGGCACGGGGGGGGTGAGAAATGGGGCCTTCCGTGGGTGGAGGGCGACGTGCTGGGCTTCGCCTGCGACTTGGAAGCCAGGACGTTATCCCTTTCTGTGAATGGATCCTGGGAGGCTCCGGTCGGGAGGGCTTTCGAAGACATCGACTTTGTCGAAGGTCTCCGACCCTGCCTAACCCTCAATAAATCCTGTTCCTTCGGGGTATCCTTTGGAGGAGAAGGGGAAGCACCACTCAAACATCGGCCTCCGGGACACAGAGCCGTGGCAGAGGCCGCGAAGGAGGAAGCGTTGCGCCGCTGCTACTGGGGCTTCAGATTCCAGGTCACTCCGTCCGAAGGGATTCGAGCCCGCACTTGCGAAGATTTCAAACCTGTCTGGAGATTTCCCCCCTCCTCCTCCTCTGTCCCCCCTCCACCGGCCCTCGCCTTTCCTTCCTCTGCCCAAGACCCTCGCCGGGCGCACTGCACGATTTGGCGACCCCGTCCCGGGCTGGGGTATGCCGTGTTGGGCGACGTGATCACTCGGGGCGATGCCCTTCCAGAGAGCATTTTGACTGTGGCTACCGACGAGAGTACCTTCCTCTCTCCTCCGCGCGGCTACCGACTCCTTATGCCTTTGCCGCCGCCCAACCCCCTTCGTCCGCCCACTAGCCAGTCCTCGGCACAGCAGCCTGGAGCTCTCTGGCGCCCTATCCCGCCCCCAGGCTTTGTGGCCATGGGAGATGTCTTCTGGGGTGGGAATTCAGAGCCTCCCTTGTCGTTGGTACGTTGCTTGCGAGAAGATGCCGTGGAGCCAGCAGCCCTCTTTGCCCGCATCCAGTCGTGTAATGTCGGGGACGGGGTGCCTGAAACCGGTCTAGCCAAAGACAGAGACGGCCCTGTGACGTTTTGGGGCGTGGGCAATCAGTGCCGGACATTTTTTGCCGTTCCTGGACACGCCACGCCGCTTTCTCCCTCCTTTCCTGGTCCCATGGGCTGGGCTTTGCGAACCTCCCTCCCCGGCATCACCTTGCCTCAAGGTTGGAGCTCAGAAAAGGACGCGCAAGGACAACCCTCCATGGAATGGGCCCTGTGGGTATTGGATTGTTTCCTGGAGACATGTGCCTCCTGGGAATTGACGGCGGGTGGCATTTTGTCCCGACGCACTTACGAAGCCCTCCTGACCTGCATCTTGGACGCGTCGCACTGCAGGGATCAAGCCCGGCTCCCCGCCGTCTCCCTTCTCACCCGCTTGCTCCGGACGCGCCGAGGGCTGCTCATGTCTTCGGCCTACGATGGTCAAGATGTGGAGGACGGCTTGCCTCTCATGTCCCTCACCTCCCTTTCCTCTCTTCCTCGAAGCGTCCTTGCCTTGGGGGAGGTCGCTCCTGCCTTGCTGCGTCATTGTCGGGAACAGATTCACCTGCATGGGCATCCCACAGAGGCTGTGACTGCTTCTGGGTCGTGCTCCTCCCGCCTTTTCTTGCCTCGAGACCTACAACAGATTCTGGAGCTTGTCACCACCATCAATTGGGCCGCGCCCTTGCGTTTGGCGGTCGAACGTGCCGTCTCCGCTTTTCTTCCTTTCTCCCCTGCCTCCCTCACCCTTCTGCCCCTCCCTGCTGTCGGCTCTCTGCTTCGATCTCGGGGCATGGACGGGATCGCGACGCCTCAGACGATCCTGGAGCGAGTGCTGCTAGAGCTGCAACGGGCGGCCCGAGGTGAACGAGGGAGTGACAAAGAAGCCTTGGAAGATTTGATGGGACTGGCAGAATTCTTGTGGAGGGGCGTGAAAGGGGACGGTCGTAAAGGGAGGGGAAATGGAGGTGGGGTGGATGACGACGGCGGCCTCGACCGGATCCGTCGCCTGGACGGGTCGCCGACCTCGGGAACAGCCTCCCCGTTGACGCTTCTGGGCGAGGAAGATGACGCCTTTGTGGCGGCCTCGAGGAGTCTGGGCAAGGAGAAGGAAGGAATCGTGGTGGCGCCGTTTTGCCAGACAGCGCTAAAGGCCTGGCTGAGGTCCACGGCCAGCTCGGAGGTAGTGGAGTCACTGCACCCTGTCAGCATGGCGCGTCTACGCGAAAAATCGGACGTCTGGGAGCAGAGAGGCGAAGTGGTGTTGGAGGGGGCGGAGGCGGTGGAGGTCGTCTTTGATGGTCGGAGTGACCTGCCGAGAGGTTTGTTCCTGACGTTAAAGGGCGGGAATCCGAACGCCGATGCCCCCGAAGCGCTGTGGGACGGGGAGGAGGAAAAGGAGAGCCTGGTAGTCTGGTCCAGTACCGGGGAGCGGAAACCGGGAGAGTTCACGACGAGGCTGGTTTTCAAAGGGCCACGGGTCCAATGGTCTCTACTGCCCGCGCATGAGAAGCGAAGGAAGGAAGGAGAGCAGCAGACGGAGCCCGACATGGGCGGGGCGACCGAGACAGAGGAAGGGGTACATGGAACGCCGGGTCCTGCTTGGGTCTCGGCTGAGACCGCAGGACTTCCTGCCGGGCCGATGGCGTCCTCCACGCGACTTGCCAGGACCGAAGCCGCGCCGCCCTCTCCCACGTCGTCGGTGGTACGAAAAGGATCGACAGAACGATCCAGGACTTCTTTGTTGGACGCAGGCCTGGAGATCAAGGAAGAAACGTGGGGCTTTGGCTTCACGGTCCTCGCCAAAAGGATCACTCCCAGTCAGTCCCTGGCCAGATTGGTCCGACAGGTGCAAGACCACAACTGCGTGGTGGCATTTCCCTCGGAATGGTCCTTGGATCAAGACGTGGCAGTGGTGGAATGGTTGAACACGGCCAGCGAAGCGCTGGGTCGGGCGGCCGTGGACGTCTCCCCCTTTGACTTCCGCCACGGAGGGAGGGAATCGTCGGTGGGACTGCACCTGGAGCATTGTCCCATGCCAGCCATATACCTGCGGATTGCCCTGATCCAGGGTTTTAACCAACACATCCAGCGCCTCCTCCCCTTCGTGGACCTGGCGAACCCGTGTCGACACAGTCTGGGCGCCAAGCTTCGGGCATTGGCCCCCCTGGTCCTACGGGACGTGAAGATGGCCGTGGTGGAGGCCGGAAAGGAGCGGACCCTGGGCTCGGGCGGAAACTCCTTGACCATCACCCTCGACAACTTCGCTGCCTCCCGGTCGATGGAAGCCGCAGAACGCGACGTGACCACCAGTCGCTGCATCTTCGTTCAGGCCTTTAGGGCCCTTCACCACAAAGACTCCCAGGTGCTGCGCTCCTGTTGGGACGGAGACCGCGTCTTCCAAGTCACGTTTCGAGGAGAGAACGGCTCGGATGCCGGGGGGGTTTTCCGCGAAGGCATGTCTCGGGTCCTGGAAGATTTGTACTCTCCTGAAACCTTGAACCTGCTCATCCCTTGTCCCAACGCCCAGCACGGGCTCCCCACCAATACGGACAAATTTCTTCCCAACCCGCAGCTTGCCACCTGTCCCCTCGCTTTGGAGATGTTTGAATTCGTTGGGAAATTGATGGGCATGTCCTTGCGAGCGAACTTGTGCCTCCCTTTTCACTTCCCTTCCTTGATCTGGAAACGGCTACTGGGACACGAAGTGCTCCGGAGCGACATGGAAGCCGTGGATACCTTGACGAGCCGCCTCCTGGACTCGGTGCGAGGCTGCGAGGACGAGGCGGAGTTCGAAGGGAAGTTTGGAGGAAGCTTGACCTTCGTGGCGACAGGGTATGACGGGGACGAGGTGGAACTCATACCCGGAGGTTCCATGGAAGACGTGACATTCGCGACCCGCCAGGCCTATTGCGACTTGCTATCGGAGCGATATCTGCACGATTCGGACGCCCAGGTGGGAGCCATGGCCCGGGGACTGTATGCGGTGGTCGCTCGGGACACGCTCTTGCTGTTGACCTGGCAAGAACTTGAAACCTTAGTGTGTGGCTCTCCTACCTTCGACATGGCCTTCTGGAAGGCGCACACGACCTACGCGGGGTACAGCAAGGACGACCTGACCATCCAGCTGTTTTGGAAGGTTCTAGAATCTTTCAGCCACGAAGAACAAAGTGGCTTCGTCCGCTTCGCCTGGGGTCGCTCGCGGCTCCCCCCCAAGAACGCGTGGTACAAGAACATGCAGATCTCGCGCCGAAACGCAGGCGAAGATTCCTTGCCCGCCAGCCACACGTGCTTCTTCTCGATCGAGCTTCCGCCTTACCAGAGCGAAGCAGCCATGCGCAAGGGGCTGTTGACAGCCATCACGTATGGGGCGGTGGGCATTTTGAATACGTAGGCTTCCCAAAGGCAAAGGAGACGGCAAACACAGAAATCGGAAGTCCAGGAAAGCATGCTGCTCAGGACGAGCAATCGAATCGAACAGGGCATGTAGATTTTGAGTCTCTATCAAGGAGTCATAAGGAGGAGGAAGTAGAAGATGTTAGAAGGAACACGATTGTTGACAAGTTTGGTGGATGGGCAGCAGTGTAGAGGAGGAACAGAGCGCAATCTGGAGTTTTAAAGGGAAGGCCATCCTTACCTCGCATTTGAATGTGAGCTGCAAGTCAAAGAAGGGTCTGAAATGTATTCTGTGACTAGAAATCGACTGAAAAGTAAAGAGGAGGGCTCCTAGCAGACCTAACGGTATAGACGGTCGTTACGTGCTTGCCTAGATTTGGAGCGATGACAAATTGAGGGCCTGACGGCATTTGAATGAAAATATTGTACAAAGGGAGCAAGCATTAATGTTTAGCCTTATTTAAAAAATGAAATGAAGGAGAATAATGCCGAAACGCTCAGGCAGAGGGGTTCGTGTCTTTCATCGTCTGCTTTCAAAGTCTTTTCCTCCCGTTTCTTCACAGCTCCTGGTTCGGTGGTGGTTTATACACAAATTCCAGCCCGTTTCCTTCGGGGTCGAAGGCAAAGACTTGCCGTGTGTCCGTGCCTGGTACCGTGGACGTTCCGAAGGGAATTCCTCGGGTGCCCAACGCCGCCTTGATGCTTTCTAAGTCTTTTACAGTCCAGGCCAGATGGTGACCGCGTCGGATATGGATTGGGTCAAAGTTTCCTTGCATAAATACATGCTGACTACAATTTCCTGTGGACGCGTCACGAGCGGACCCCTCCACGAGGCCGTAGTCCGGCGTACCTTCGATGAGATGCATAGTGACACCGCTGGGATGGTACAACCAGATGGTCACAAAGGGGAAAGGGGGCGCCGGCACGCGTGAGAAGCCCATGACACTGGTGTAGAATTCTGCCATTGTTTCGGGGTTGCGGCATTCGCGGGATACGTGGTTGAGCAATAAAACGTTCGTATCCCCCGCTCCAAGACACTTGGGTAGAAGGACATGGAGATGCGAGAGGATGAATAAATATGGCCAAAAACGCTGCATGATTATGGCCACACACAAAGCAGCGACCCTGTCAACCTGTGTTTATGGACGTACAAAAATGACGATTCCGAGATTATTGGATCGAAAACTACTGTGATGCAGTCCTGCTGTTTGTTTTTTCCATACTGCTCTGCAAGGACTTTTTAACCTCCTCCTCCAGTGATATGGCGGCTATATCTAAGGCAAGTTTCATCTCATCCACCTTGCCCACCGACACCCACCAAGCAGGACGCAACGGGAGGACGTACACATGTGTGAGGTCCGCATCGTGTGGTAGACCATTCCTTTGACTAAACGTGGAGCACGTGCTTTTTTTTTAGGCCCCACCAACTTGGCAGGAGGTACGCACCCGAGAACCGGTGTTCCTCGAGCTCGCATTACTCGCTTGGGTGCGCAACATCCTGTCCCTACCATAATCCTACGTGCTAAGTCACACTGGAGCAACGAACATGGTCTCGGCTTCACCTTTACCACCTCCTCTACCTGCGTCCCGGGCATTTCCCTCCTCAGTTCCTCCGGGACTCTCCCTCCTCCGTCCCAGCACTCAGCTGCCGTTTGAGCGTCCTGACCCGCATGACGAAGAATCTGCCACTCTGATTCGGAAACGTGATGGCACTGCTGACCCTTCAGCCTCGTTCTCATCCTCGAGTCTGGGAGGCGATGTTCCCCTTGATGCGGCCCTGGCACTTGGCAGCAGCACCAGCACCAGCACCGTCCCCATGAATCCGACTGACCACCTTGCGCACTCCACCACCATATCGGACGTGCATTTTATCGCGGGCAACCACGCCGATTTCTATTTGTTGGGGTCCAAGGGCATTGGTGGCTCGGAAAGCTTGGCCCAAGTCAAACGTGCCTTGCAAGAGCAGCGGCCGGACGTGCTGCTCGTTCAAATCTGCCCCACCCGCCTCCGCCTCTTGCTTGACCCCGATGCCTCCATTTGGAGCTACCTGATCGACATTCACGCCGCCATCAGCAGCAGCAGCAGTGGCCAGGTCCTGGGTGTGGAAGGTGGTTTTAGCCCCTACCACATGTTGGCGGGAGCGACACCTCTCTTGAACTTTTCCCGTTTTTCCTCCTTGGTGCTTGCCCGCCTGGTCTGGAAAGCCGTGGCTGTGTTGGTGGGGCAACGCCGGACGTTTGCGCACGAATTTGTGCAGAGCATCCGGTTGGCTGCCACTACCCCCGTTCCAGGCCACCACACCCGTGTCGTGCTGGGGGGGCGGGATCTGCCCACGACCTTGGCCCGCGCCTGGCTTTCCTTGTCCGCCTGGGACCGTCTCGGAGTCGTCAAAGACGTGGCCTTGCTCTCCCTCCCTTGCCTGTCGGGACGGACGGCTTGCCAGGCCCTCGGCCTCTCCCCCCCCTTTCTTCCCATACCGCGGGGCTCGGACGCCATGTCCCAAGTCCTTCGTTTCTTCGCCCATCGGCATCCGTCCTTGGCGCCGTTGGAGAAAGAAGGAGGGGATTACTTCCTTTCTTCCATGCAAAAGCTGGACAGACCTGTGTGTAGCCGGGAGGGAGGGCGGGAGGGGACAGGGGAGGAAAGGATGGTAGTCTTGGCCGTTGTGGGCGCCTCGTTGATACCTCACATCCAAAGGAATTGGGGGATTCCGGTGGACAGGCGCAGGTTGATTTCTTGTCGGGGGCCCCGAGGAGGAGGTTGGGCGTGGCCCTGTGTGGGTATGGTCATTCTGGTCCTTATAAGCTACATGCTGTGTCAAAGCATCCTCTTTCTCTCGGCGCCTTCTCAACAAACGTTTGGTGTGGTCCGGCACAAGGACCCGAGCATGGCCTTTTGAGGATGTTGGCGGAAAAGAATACTGCCACGAGGCATTGATTATGGCGGGTCATGGTTGAGACTTTGCTATCATCGAGGTAAATGTACCAGCAGTGGACGACAAAGGCTCCCAAATTTGGGGGAGAAGAAAAGACGGTGGAAATGAGAAAGGAGGGAAGCGGCAGATCTGGAAAGAGGGGGGGCGGAAGAGATGGGCTTGATGAAGGGGGTAGGACGAGGAGGAGGCGGAAGGGAGAGCACGGGGCGACTTTGGAGAGAAAAAGGCTGGGTACATAGTGTGTATGTACAGATCGTGATAAAAAGAGGAGTAAAGCACAGGACGATTGAATTCCACATGACACTCAGACATCGCTGGTTTTGTAACTTTGTTTCGTATATTGAAACTCCTTTTTCTCCCAAGGAGGGACTTTCGGCTAGCCACGTGTGAAGGATTACACGGCTTCTCTCGAAGGAGAGTTTTGACCCAGATGTCCATACAGGCAATGAGTTACAATATACACTCACTCCATCTGTACAGATGTCGTGAATGGCTAAGAAAACAAAATAAAAAGAAAATATTTCAGAGAGGAGTAACCTCCCCCCCCTCACCAGCACTTTGACTTCCAGCAACGGCTGGAACCAGAATACAAATGGTATAAAATATGTCTCCACGAGTGAAATTTCACATCGGAAAATGCATAAATACAGGGATTAGCACTTATTAAAACCATGTCTTTCATGGGGGCACCGCCTTCCTTACCAGGGGAACGCTCAAAAGGGGGTCCTCGCTTGTCTCAGCGTCCCTCCGCCGGGGACACGGGCGCATCGTACTATGGCCCGTCTACCACATCATCCACGGTGGCACCCAGTGATCGACCTGGACAACAGCAATTCCTTCCTAAGATGTATTTCAAGGCGCTGCAAGGCGTGGGTGGCTTGGTCGAGGGAGACCACCAGCCTGTGGGGAACGACACGGAGGGTATTTCTTTCACCGTCTACGGCTTGAGAGCAGACATATTGAATGATGCTGTGGCTGCCATGGCTGTGCAGGAAGAAGAACACATGATCTACTGGAGGGGGGAGAGAGAGGACCCTATCGTGATCGACCGGTTCGACGGGCGAGCCCTCTTGGATGACAGGATGATGTTCCGAAAACGAAAAGGGAGGGGGCGGTGGAGGGGGAGAAGGAAGGCTGGAGGGGCGGAGGAGGAAGATGATGACAACGGGGGTGAGCCGGAGGGGGAGGGAGAAGAGGACGATGGTAAGGACGCGGAGATAGAAGAGGTGGAGAGACAATGCGACGTGGAAAGGTATCGGGACCTGAAAGTGGTGAGGAAGGAGGAGCAGGGGGAGGAAGGGGAGGAAGGGGAGGAGGCGAGGGAGGAGGTGAATGGTCGTGGGCACTCGCATGGCGACGAGGCGGGGGAGGAGTCGGCAGAGGGCGGGAGCGATTTCACGCCTTCCTTCTCCGTCCCTCCCTCGGTGTGCCTCCCGTCGACGTGGCAGGAGCATCGTCTCATAGGTATGACGTCACGGAGGGCGCGCGAAGACCCCCAGCTCGAGATCATGCTGAAGGTGAAGCAAGCCGACAATCCGGCCTTTTCCTTCCTCTATCCGGGGGGGCGTTTGCACGAGTACTATGTCTTCATGCGGGAGGAAGAGAGGGAGGTGGAAGAGGACTATGCCTTGGATGAGGAGGGGAGGAAGAAGAAGGAGGAGGAGGAGAAGCGGAGGGCGAGGGAGGAGGAGGAAGAAGCGAGAAGGAGGGAGAAAGAGGAAGAATTCAGAAGGAAAATGGCGATGCGGTATCCAGCTGTTTTGGAAGGTTCTAGAATC